CTAAGAGCAAGCTGCAATCTGGGCTAATTTGGGAAATGGTTTTTCTGCAAGCTCATATGTGAGTCATCTTTCCAAGCCTATCGCCTCCTGGCTACACGGAATCCCATTCAAACCGCCTCTGCCAACAGCTGCACAGGAGATCAGGAAACATTGGGGTTTGTTGTGGCTGACTTAAAAACACATGATCTCTTTTCTCCCTATAGTGCTTCAAATGTTGTCAGTATTACAAAAATCACAAGCAGCCCCAGGGCCAAGCTGGATCTACATTAAACTAACTTGGTAATTTGGGGCCCTTTCTTCTCCCTAAGATCAGAAAAGAAATGTAGAAACATAAACTAAAATCGGGGCAGTGTCCCTCACAACACTGGGATTCTACAGTGTCTCTATTCAGACAGAAAGGGGGTCAGTTCCCCATTTCACTTCCCTAAGACTGTGATCTTGGCAGTAACCAAAACTCTCCCTGTCTGGGCTGGCTACAGGTGCACCGTGGCGATGGGGATGGTCTACTTCAGCCGTGACAAAGCTGAAGTGAAAGGGAGGGCCTACATGCAGTCCTGTTTTGCTACTACCACCAGCCTACTCCTTGGGAAGACCACGCTCCAGAGGGCTCCCAGATACCATCCCTCATCCTAGAGTGTGCACCCGTGAGGCACACAGAAAATGCTCAAGAGGCAGGTCAATGAAGGAGCACAGAGCTTCAAATGTTGTGTCATTCACTGAAAGCACTGTGAGCACAGAGCTCCCTACCTTGGGGTAAGGGAAGCACAGGCTGAAGAGTTAGGAAGGGTCAGCACCCAGTGACTGCCCATTTACCACAGAGAGGGCACAGGCCCAACTTTCAGTATCTGTTCTGAGAAGATACATAATAACAAGCGCCACTGTAAATCTCCTTTCCGTTTATAACAAAAGTACCTGTAAACATATGAAACCACGAACCTGGAGACCATGTTTATTCTGTCAGTAGTGTGTTGGCGGAGCTTGTGGCCATCCCACTAGTCCCAACAAACTTCACTGTAGTGCCCGGGAGCAAGCATTGGCCAGAGAGTTTGGTAAATGATGAAGTTTATGAGCAGACTGTGGGTTAGCTGGGTCTGAGAAGGAGGCAAAGCATTAGAACACCAGAGACCCTTCTAATTCCCCAGGATCCAGGTGGTCGGTAACTGAAGGATGGAGCAGAGTGAGTGGGGCAGATTCACCTCATCTAGCACAGAGGCCTTGCTGGTCATTCTCCCTGCCCCCCAGCTTCACTACCCACTTGAAACCAGTCCTTGAGATCTCCAATTGTTGCAGTAGGAGTTTACAGTCACTGCCAACACCCCAACTCCAATCCTATAGATTCTCCAGCCTGACCCAGAGCAGCCCTCATGGCAGGTCCCAATCCCCAGAGCCACACACCACATCGCAGAGCAGGTGCTCCATCACTGCTGGATGAAGGAATGGAAGAGCCAATCAATGAAGGAATGGGGCAAGAGTCAAAGTCCAGATCACAAGCAAACAGACATGAATCATCTCTGAGAGTCAGAGACGAAAATGTCAACAGTCCAAGTGGGCAAGGGGACTCAGTGATGTGGCTAGCAGGGAAAAGGACAAACAGCTCCCACCCAGCTCCCGACATATGGGAACAAATATGAGAAAGGGCTTGGAGTTACCAGAGATTCTCATCCTTTGGAAGAATGGGGAACCTAAGATTTTTTAGCAATTTCCTGGTTTTTAAGCTCTTCTTCCTTGGGAATACACATGGCGCAGTGGGCTAAAGCCAGCTATTAGTGCCAGTCTGGCGTTAAGCTCCAGAAATTTGGGGGCGTCAACTAGCCTCACAGTTCCCCATTTCACTTCCCTAAGACTGTGATCTTGGCAGTAACCACAACTCTCCTTGTCTGGGCTGGCTACAGGTGCACCGTGGGGATGGGGATGGTCTACTTCAGCCATGACAAAGCTGAAGTGAAAGGGAGGGCCTACATGCAGTCCTGTTTTGCTACTACCACCAGCCTACCCCTTGGGAAGACCACGCTCCGGAGGGCTCCCAGATACCATCCCTTTGCTGGAAGAGAGGACAAGCAGAACCACCACACCTGCGTACACAACTAGAACCACATTAACATCTGCCCTCCACCCTCTACCTTCACCTTGCAACCTCAAAGCAGCAGTACGAACCTTCAGTTGTTTCCTAGAGAATCCCCTCAGTGTCTGACCACAGTACCCTCAGGAGGTGTCACCCCTCACCCCAACCTTCTTCTCGACTCTCCTGACAACCCAGTAAGATAGCCCTCCACTCAGACTGCCCTGATCCCCCCTGGGCACTTGGAGCAGAACATTATGGCTGTCTTCCTATGAAGACACTTCCCCATTAAGTGGTGTGACCTCTGCTGACGGCCACAGGCAGGGGCGCTGGATGACTGAGTGACAGATCCAGAAACTCTGCCCCAGAGGTCTGTGAAAGCCTGCTAGCTGCAAACAGGGGAGGGAAATTGACCGGAAGGACCAGGATAGGGCTGTAAGATTTCTGCTCACTCAAAAATCCTTCGAGCCCACCCCACCCCAGATCCCGAGAATTAAAAACAGCAGTCCTATTTTCAGAGGGGTGAGACCACAAGCATATTTCAGAAACACTTCTGCTGCTTTAAAGCTCAGAAAACAGCAACAACTGTTTACGGGGTGGGCTCCGTAATTGCTGGAGACTTGTCACCTGGCTGAATAAAGGTCTCTCTTTCCAGTCATCCCACCTCTCATGCTTAACAGCAGGCCCACTTAGCAAACAGTCCACCAGCAAGCAGAAGGAAAGCGGGTGACCTGCACATCGAGTTCACCTAAGATGACCCACAGAAGCTCCACCAGGGGAAACCCTCATTCCAAGCACACCCCAATCACACCAATCAGGTATATGTGGGTCTCAGCCAAAGAGCTTGCAAGAGGGCTCACTTCCTGTCATCCTGTCTGTGATCCCCAGCATTCAGATGAGTGCCAGCTAAGGCCAAATGGAGCACTCTCTCACTCCTCGCTGCTTCTCCCCAGATGCACCGTCCTCCTGCAGCCCTCTTCCCATCACCTCTCCCTCCATTAAGAGAGCCTAACCTGCTTTTTCCAGCCCAGTGAACGACCCCTTCAGAACCTCACATAACTGGGGCCTGGCAGCCTAGGTACGACCTCTAGCTCCCAGACCAGCTCCTCTAAAGTGGATGCTGTAATGACCCCTAGCAGAAGGCAGTAGCCAGAGAAGGCCCAGGCATGACCTATGCTGAAAGGGACTTGGGTGGAGAGTCAGCGGAAGGATAGGTCAGTCTGAGCTGTGGAATGACAGCTCATTTCATCCTGTTTACTCTTCCATGATTCCCAAGTTTTACATATTTAATACACACTATACTTATAAGGAAAACCTAGTTAATGCTGTTTAAAATATATTTTAATTTTTTAAATTTAATTAAAAATATATTTCCTTTTATTTATTTTACATGAATGTTTTGCCTGCCTCTATGTCTGGGCACCACATGTGTATCTGGTGCCTACAGAGGTCACAAGAGGGCATCAGACCCTCTGAAACTGAGTGACAGATGGTTAGGAGCTGCCACGTGGGTGCAGGAAACTGAACCTGGGTACTCAAGAGCAACAAGTGCTCTTAACTGCTGAGCCATCTCTCCAGCCCATTAATGCTATTTTTAAATAAATTATCCAAGTTCTGAACAGTGCCATTTGGATGAGACACTGTAAGGAGTCCCTAAGCAATGCCACACAGACAGACCAAAGACACTACCAGAGCAGCACGTATGCAGGAAAGAGACTCACGGTCACCAGACAAGGCCCCAGGGCAACAGGACAAGGAGAGAAACACCCCAGAAAGAGCACCTGAAAACGGCAGTCCAGCCATGAAAATGGTATCCTGCTTCTAGTCAGTAGGCAGGTGTCAACACCCAGCCTACTGCCCATTGCTGGGTGGGCTATACAAAAAGTCACTGAGCCTCTCTGAGCCTTTAAAACAGACCATGTTCTTGTAGGCAATCTTCAAGCGTTTTTAATAAACAACACAACCAAGGGACCAAACAGAGTGAAGACACACAGCAGATGCTCAATAAAGAGTACCAAAACGTTCTTCCTGGAAGTAAGCCAGAGCTACAAAAGTTACAATCATTGCTTGCTGGTCCACTGCTAATACAGCCCCACAAAGTATCCCCAAGTCCACCTGTGAAATCGCAGCTTCCAAAAACTACTGCTGCCGGACACCTTTTCGGCTTCTTACAAGTCTGCCTTACTCTTCACGGAGTGTCGAGGCTAACTGAGTCTCCCCACTGTGACAATCCCCAGCACAGGCCCTGAACCACTTGCCTACCTCACCTAGCAGCCAAGAATCCGCCCTCCCCTACAGAGTCCCTGCATGCCGGCTAATTAAGCTCTGCGCCCCATATGCACAACAGTAATTGACTCTCGGGAGTGTCTAACTCCTAGAATATGCAAGCCGGGAGGGGACTTGGGAAGCGAATCCCCAAGATCTCCAGGAACACACAAAGAGATGAGATTTGCATCAAGATCGCACCCACCTTCTCCACCAACCCCAGCGAATCCCACACTTGCCCTGCCTGCAGAGCAAGGCAGGGCACCGGAAGACAACTTGGCTGCGCCCTGAAACATCGCTCCAGCACACCCCAGCCTGCTTTCCTTTGAAGCCACCGAAATGGACACTTGTGCTTAAACTCGAGGCTCATTAGGAGTGACACATTTTATAACTGGACTGCCGATTATCTATGGAGCGCGCCTGCCCTACTGCATGCGGCCGGCCTCCTCCCGGTCCCGGGCTCCAGCCTTTGTGGGAGGTTCTAGGGAACAAGGCTAAGGGACTCTCCACTCGACCCCCACCTTCAACCCCCAGGATCCCGCTAGCATCATGGGCCCCAGGCGGCGGGCAGGCCCGGTTCAAAGATGGCCCTCGCGGCGTCACTGCCAGCTTGGGGCCCGGACCGGGGGTCGAGCGCACGAGGTCAGAAGGCGCGCCGCCCGCCCGCCCGCCTCACCTGCTTTCTCGATCTTGCCGGACATTTCCGGGCTGCGCTGGAGGCCGAGGCCGCTGCTCATCCGGCCCCAGCCGGGCCGCTGCGGGCTAAGAGGTCGGCGCGCCCGCCGCTCTCCTGGGCCGCGGCTCGCCGCGCCTCACACTCGCGCCGTCATGGCGGGCTCTGCGCGGTCGCGGCCCGTGCGCTCGCCGACCGCGCTCCAGCCCGCACCGGGCCTGCCGCTCCGCCGCTCCACCTCGCGCGCAGCCGCTGCTCCGGGGCCGCGAGCCGCCGGCCGCAGCG